AACTTCATCAATCCACCGATGCAGTGTTGAATGCTACATGCAAAGTAGGCTAGCCGAAATGCGAAACTCAATCAAGCTCAGCTAGACCCTAAACCCTAAACCCTAAACCCTCAACCCTAAACCCAAGGCCCTCTTCGTTAAAAGCTGCAGTGTAGGAACAGCGAAGAAGCGCGGCCCGGACTTTCTTTCACGCCTTTTGCCCGAGTCTCAGATCAGAGTCGGACGAGTCCTTAAGGCCCGTAGGGTGTGGCGTTGGATTTTCTGAGAATTAGGGTTTAGGGTTTAGGGTTTAGGGGCTAGGTGTACATCATAGCCTGCAAGCCCTATGCTCGTTGAAGGAACAGTACAGCCCGATAGATTCCTACAAAAACCGTACAGAACCATCAGTGACTCACACAGGACCTGTAATCTAGGGGCGTAAATAATTACCTAAAATATTGTTCGGGGGGTTCCTTGTTCGATTTTTTGTATCATCTACCCCCAGACCCTATTCTAATTATTAAGGCCCCTACGCCTGATAGTAACCCATTTAAAGGAACCCTTAAAGGAACCCTACCCTAATTTCTAAGGGCTCCTACACTAAGCCTCAACTGCAAGAGCTGACCTCAACCGACCAGCGACCTGAGGGTAAGGAAGGGTTACTCGACACGGGTTCCTTTAAACGGGTTACCCTAAGGATCCGAAGGATCGGGTTTAGGGTTTAGGGTTTAGGGTTCAGGGTTTAGGGTTTAGGGTTTAGGGTTTAGGGTTTAGGGTAGGATCCGAAGGATCCAATAATCAGGTACTCGGTTTTAGGATAGTAGTTATGTAGGTTAGGGTTTTGGAGAGTGTATGATTATTAGGTACTTGGACCTATAAGGGGTACCAAAAGGATTTAGCGTAGGGGCCTTCATAATTAGAAAAGGGTTTGGGGGGGGGGGGTAGATTCTACTATATTTATAGGGGTTAGGCTGGCCCTAAATCGACTTAGGGGTTCGGGCTGGGGCCGAGGGATCATGATTAAGGCTTGGACTCAGGGTTTATGGTTTTTTTTTGTGGGAAATAGGGCCATTGGGGCTCAGGTTTTTGCGTCTACTTGGACAGTTAGGGAGGGCCGGGACACAGCATCTCGTTCGTGAGCCGCCTTTTGACCAACAGTGCTTTTCGGCGGCTCTGCCATCCCGAATCACCTCCAAGTATGTCCCCTCAGGCAGACTGACATCAGTAGAAGCCTTCCGTGTATTGCTTGCATTCAGGGAAGTAAGGGAAGTACATGTTTAACTTTCAGTGCAGGAAGATGCCGGCAGCATACTTGACGGTTCAAGTTGCACTTAACCCCTAAACCCTAAACCCTTGGCGGTATGTAACTTGGTTTTGTTATTGTAAGATCCTTGCTGCAACCGAAAGCTCTTTGCTACAACTGAGAGCCCGCCGATACATCAACTTCTGCGTCCTTTTTTGGTACCCTTGCGGGTACCTGGGCGTTTAGAGTTTGGGGCGGGTTCCTTGAAAGTTCCTTTAAGGGCTCCTTTCAGGGTACCCCTAAAGTCCTCTAAAGCTACCCTTACAGGTCCTTAATTAGTCACTTGAAGATCGAGGTTCATAGAATTTTGATGGGGCAACATGTAAAATGGGCACAT